TGCACATTTTGGGGAAAAAAAAAAGGAGGCTTGTAACTGAATATAGAGAGATAAGCAAGTCAAAATAAAATGTGAAAATCTGAGGATCTGGATAATGACAGTAGTTGTCATGATAATTTGGGGTGGCTAATTATGCATGCAAACAAATGCAGTGAGATGGGTCTGACCTTTTCTGCTCTGAAGAGGCAAACCTTCATTTTTTTTGTGTGCACCAGTCAGAATAAATGGTGCCTGGGGCCGTCTGCTGCTAATGCAAAAAGGCAGCGGGGTGATTCAAACAAAGCACATTTGCTATCTTTGCCTCTGCTAAACGGGTCATGCAGCAGAAATTATAAACATTGATATGCACTTGTGTTTTGCTCAGGCTGTAGTTACCCTCATCTCTATCATGGTATCTTTCTCCCCCTCAAGGAACAAGAACCCTCTTAGTAAGTTAACAGCATTTCCATGATACAGAAGAATAAAGAGTCATGAAGTAATTCCCTTATCCAGCTCATGCACTGCCATAGTGGGGGATAAATGTGGACGGTTAAAGCAGCTCTGGAACCTCCTTGTTTCTGCCCCATCTCGAGGGGCAAGAAGCAGCTAAGCCTGATTCTGGACACTGGCCATTTTAGCCAAGCTGATGAGTTAAAGCAGATGGTTTTCTTTTGGACTCAAAAAGGTCAGAAGACTGTTCCGTTACAAGCAGTTATGCAGCGTACTTTCCCCGAGACGAGATGAAAGTGTAGTTTGTCTTACAGCACACAATAGTTCTGTAGAAGTTTGATAATGCCAGACCTTTGGGTGCTGAGGAGCTTCTCCTTTTACCTGTGAACTGAAATTGTCTACTTAGAAGATAAGGTGGATCATGATCAAGACTATTAGCTTTCAAAGCAGCGATTTCATAGCATCTGGGAAGGAGATAGGAGGTTTTCTTTAAAACCTCTGCTTCGGTATTTACGAATCTCAGCTAGCAGGATGTGAGTCTGGGCAGGCATCAACATCGGCCAGGGACAAGCTTAAAATCAGCCATTTGTGCAACCCCTCTCTGCGTTTGCAGCACTCCTGTGTAACGACGAGAACCTGATTCTGCAAATATTATTTCACAGGAAAAAAAAATTTTGTTTATTGACTGATAGAATGTGAAGGAAAAGCCTGGTTGCTGTTGTTGCATAGTGGAGCACATGTATGAGGGCCTGAAACATGGGGCCTGCTCACACAGGTGGGGCAAGACAAAGTGARACTTAAATAAAAAAAAATGCAATAAAACACAACATTTTAGCAAGTYGCTGATGCCAGACAGGTGAACCAGGGGCCGTGTTATGCACCTGCGCCACCAGCTCGGGCAGGGATACCGTGGTAAAGAAACACACTGGTGTTTG